CTCCAACTTTGTTCTTTTTCAAAATTATTTTGGCCATTCTAGGTCTTTTGCATTTCTATACACATTTTGGCTTCTATACATATCAGCTTGTCAATTTCTACAAAACAGTGCTTGCTGGGATTTTTATTAGGATTGAGTTGACTCTACAGAACAATCTGGGGAGAAGAGACATCTTAACACTGAGTCTTCTGATCTATTAGCATGGTGTTTCTCTCCATGTATTTAGGTCTTTGTTAGTTTCTCTCACCAATGTTTGGTAGTTTTCAGTATACAGGTCTTGAACATATTTTGTTAAATTTATCCCTACCTACTGCATGTTTTTAAAATGCTATTGTAAATGGCATTTTAAAGATTTCAATTTACAATTGTTTGTTGCTAGTATATAGAATTACAATAGAGTTTTTCATATGGAGGCCTTTTGTCAGTTTTATCGAGATACAATTAACATATAACATTGTATTAGTTTAAGGTGTACAACATAATTTGATATATGTATATATTGATTTGTGTATGTTGATATATGTGTATATTGATTTAATATATGTATATATTGCAAAATGATTATCACAAGCTTAGTTAATATCCATCATCTCACATAGCTACGGTTTTTTTTCTTGTGATGAGAACTTTTAAGATTTACTCTCTTCACAACTTTCATATATATAAAACAATATTGTTAACTATAATTAACATGCTGTACGTTCCATCCCCAGGACTTACTTATCTTATAACTGCAAGTTGGCACCTTTTGACCACGTTCACCCACTTTCCCCGCTCCCCATCCTCTACCTCTGGCAATCACCAATCTGTTCTCTTAATCTATGAATTCAGATTTTTAGATTCCACATGTAAGTGAGGTCATACTTACTTATTATTTCATGATTCTACAAGCGTGTGCTAGGATGACCACCATCCCAGCTTGTCTGAGGCTATCCTGATTTTAGCAATGAAAGTCCTACATTTGGTAAACTCTTCCCTGGGATGAGACAACTCCCAGTTTTCAGGGATGGGTACAGAAGGTTAGGAGAAAGGTACAAAACTCAAAGCTGACCCCAAAAAGAGGGGCTGAAAACAGCACTGGTTTTAGTGCCAGATGGACACAGCACTTTCCCTAGTTTCTGTTGCCAAGGATGACAACCATGATTTGCAGTTCACGACACAGTAATGGATCATCCATCATTACACCACTCCTATGATGCAACTTAAGTGCACTGTCATCTGGAGCATGAACATCCACGCGGCCTGTGGATTAACTGTTGTGTTTTGTATCAAGACAGTGCTAGTTTAATTTTTAACATGGTGAATATTGTGACCCTGTTTTTTAAGAGTTCAGATAATGAGAATGACTACAATTCCAGTGCCAGCATAAACCAGACATCGTGGTCATTTAGAAGGCTAAATGACTGTGTTATTTTAATGACAGCTGGAATAACACATACACTGGGTTAGGACAGTAAATAATCAAAAAGAGCATACTGCACAATATGCAGGAAAGAATCTGGGACTGGGCATGGTGGAGAGAGGAATATGAAAGCACACGTAGAAACTGATTCTCATGAGTCCCCAGTGAGACAGGCAAGCGCTTCTAAATTAATCAAAAGGATTTTTTTTGGTCTCCCTGAAAGACACCAATTCTCAGTTGAAAACAGTAGCCACCGAGTTCGCCTGTGCATACCACATGAACGAACATATCGCTCCTTTGACTGTTCTCTGAAACTGAGTGAAATTACGTTTCCTCACTCAGAGGCTGTACCTGACATATCCTAGGGGTGAACAAAAGACGACATGTTGGTCACAGATGTGTTGGCCCGTTACAGTGTGGAGCTGATTCTGTCAGATTGTGCCAACAACTACACTTTCTACAGTGTACCACATGCTGAGTCAACTTGTGGCCATAAAACAATGTCTGCCTACCACTCAAGGACTTTGATTGGAAAAATGGAGTTTTAAATTATCTTCCTGATTTCTGCAAAGATTTTAATGAAACTTCAGAAAAAATAAAAGAATGTAGATATCTGAACACAAAGGAGACTTTGCTCATCTGACTGCACAGCTGGCAGAGAGTGTATGTGTAAAGTTTTGCAAATTCTGTTCAGTCTGTGAACTCTAACCAAAGAAAATGAAAAGATCTTACCTGCTGATGCCCTGCACACCTGTACACCACACGGCTCACGGTGTGTGGTTTCCTTCCTGCGGTATTGAGGCTTGCATTGTGACAGGTTCGGTTACTTCTGTTTTCTCCAAACATGCAAAAGCGCTTTATGAGACGTTTGACCTTCTGGAGATGAAAGGAGCTAGTCTCCTTTCGGCGGGTGCCCGCGGGATGACTGCCGTTGCTGCCAGTCGTAGAAGAGATGTGAACAAGCCAGCCTGCCATAAAATCACATTTGCCAAGTGTGGGACAAGAAGAATGTCCCTCTCTAATTTGGAAATATATTGAGAATGAGAACGGAGCGAAGGATTGTAGTCAAACAGAAATTTATAAACTTTTCCTTCAGAACTGTTCGATGATCTGTGAAGAGGCCAGAAGGATCCTAAAAAAGGGTGAACTGACTGCACCTGAGTTGTTCAATGTTATGTGTAGTAGTGACAAAAACTCACATAACGGAAAATGGCTGGGAGAAATAAAGCAAAATATCACTAAAAAAGGACAACCAATTTAAACACAACTCTCTCATTTCTTTACTAAAACTGGGACTTATTTGTAATCCAACTTTAATTTCACAAGTTCAAATGTCTCTGTGCTTTAAAACCATTTTCCCTGAGAGAGAGGTTTAACTTATGACATCCAGTGTGCTTTGAAATGTTTTAAAAGGATGGACATTTTAGACGTGGATATCCTACATGCCAAGTTTATGGATGGGAAGGAGCCATCTGACAAACAGCTGGCCTACCAAACCAGCCTGTAGATACAAAGTAGATGAACACCTTTGGTGAGCTGGAAACTAATCCCTACAAGTATAAAAACTTGCTGTGTTAGTAAGATGCTAAGTCTCCCAGGCCTGGACGATTCTATTGAGATGCCATCACATGGGACTGACAGCGGGAACCAGTGTAATGTGGGCCTAGTGGGAGCAGAGCTGCAAGTGAAAGCCTTTTACGTTTGACCACATTCAGTTTGCTCAATCCGTAAAAGTGTTTCCTAAAGCTGCAGGTGACGAAACAGAAAGAGGTGAAAATAGCCTCTGTATCACAGAAGAGAAATGTCATGGTTGCTTTTTATTAAATGTTGGTAACATCTGTTTAGTCCCGTTGTATTTACATTCTTTTAAAAAGTCTTACAAGTATGTTTCTATTTTTTAAAAAAACCTTATTTTTGTAGAGCAGTTTTAGGTTCACAGCAAAATGGAGGGGAAGGTACAGAGATTTCCCACATACTTCCTGCCGCCACACTGTAGTGTCCCCAGTTATCAACATCTCCCACCACAGTGGTACACTTGTTATAATCCCCAAGTCCATAGTTGACCTTAGGGTTCGCTCTTAGTATTGTATATTCTGTGGGCTTGGACAGCTGTATAATGACTTGTACCCATCATTACGGTATCATACAGAGCATCTCCACTGCCTAAAATCATCTGTGCTTTCCCTATTCATCCCTACTGCCCCCCCCCCCCCCCCCCCCCCCCCCCCCCCCCCCCCCCCCCCCCCCCCCGCTGTCTCCATGGTTCTGCCATTTCCAGAATGACATATAATTGGAATCACGCAGTATCATACACCCTTTTACATGGAGGTGTCTTAATACAAAATTTGAGTAGCCAATAATGAGTTAAAATAAATTGCTGTATCAGAGGACAGAAAAACACTCCAAAGCTATTTTTATATTTTTCACACATATTATTTGTTTAATTAGTCTATTTATTCTTGCCATTGTTACTAATCTTGTGTTTAAATAATAGCATTTATGTAACAGAAAACTAAATACTACAGAATATATAATTTCAAATAAACACCTTTTTCATATTTTAATATGTGTAATTCTAATATATATGATTTCAAATCAACTGTTTTTTCACATTTCTACGTTAAAGTAACACACGCATACGTATAATTATTTTTACATATTATACTATTATGGTGTAAGACGTGTGTAACTATTTTTTGCATATTACACTATGAGTGGGTTTGGGATCTGGTATGGCTGTGTCCCAGGCTGGATCTCTAAAGTCGGTCCCCCGAATGCGTGTTCTCCCCCCTCCTCTGCCGCGGCTTGTTTAAGCCCCGACAGGCGGAGCCCACTAAGAGCCGATGGCCGCACTCAAGGGGCTCACAGTCTGATGCTGAAGTCAGACGCAAAACAGGCAGGCGGAGAGCAACGGCGAAGGTGCGAAGACGGAGGCTCCCCCGGCTCCCTCTGGGCCAGTCCTCCCCCAGCGCCGAGGAGGCCCTCTGGGCAGGCTTCGTGGAGGAGGCCAGCCTGGCCGGACCGCTGGGCGAAGGCGGCGGGGGTGGCGGTGCTTGGAGTTCCAGGAGGGGCGTGCGAAGAGGGGGCCACACCGGCCCCTGGGCCTGGCCTCTCCCGGCAGGGGACCGGCCCCACGGGCCCGTGCAGACGGGGCTCCCTCCTGGGCCCTCCCTGCGTCCCGGGCCGCCGGCCTCCGGGGTCCAGCCTCCCGCGAGGCCGCCGCGCCGCTCCCACGGCTCCGCGGAGGTCCCGGCCGGCGGGGCTGCTCCCGCGGCGGCGGTGCGCCCAGGTTCCCGCCTCGCCGTGCCCCCTGCCCCGCTGCCGCCCCCGCCGCGATCCCCCCCCCCCGCTCCCGCCCCCGCCGCGACCCCCCGCCCCCGCTCCCGCCCCCGCCGCGAACCCCCGCCCCTGCTCCTGCCCCGCTCCCGCCCCCGCCGCGACCCCCCGCCCCGCTCCTGCCTCGCTGCCCCCGCCGCCGCGCCCCCTCCCCGCTCCCGCCGCGACTCCCGCCCCCGCCTCCGCCCCGCCCCCGCCCCCGCCGCGCCCCCCTCCCCGCTCCGGCTCCCGCAGCGCCCCCGCCCGGCACCGCCCCCGCCGGCGTCTGCTGGCCGCGCGCCTCCCGCTGAGTCAGCCGGTGAGTCAGCGCCGCCGCGCCGGCCGCCGCGGGAGCGGGAGGGAGAGGAGCGGGAGGGGCCGGGGAGGAAGGGCAACTTCCAAAGCAGGGTTTGCGCCCTGTGGCCTGCAGGCCACATCCAGCACGACTTACGGTTTTGTTCAGCCCAGGAACTAAGAGTGGTTTTTACATTTTTTGATGGTTGAAAAATATTAGAAGATGAATATTTTGTAACAAATGGAAACTGTATGAAATTCAAATTTCAGTGTCCACGGAAAGTTTTACTGGAACAGCAAGCTCCTTTGTTGCCTAGGTCCGCGGCTGCTTTGCACAACGACAGCAGAGTCGAGCCATTGTGAGAGACGGTATGGCCCCCAAACCTAAACCGCCTACCGTCTGTCCCCTTCAGAAGGTTTGCTGCCGCCCTCCGCAGGGTGCCCTGGCCCCGGCTGCTACGGAGGCAGCTCTGCCTGTGCAGAGCACGTGCTGGGGTGGGCTTCCCACCCTGAGGAGCCCTTCCAGGCCCTCTCAGCTACCCCAGGGTTTGTCAACTGGCAAGACAGCCCTTCTCACCAGCGCCCTCTGTGGGGCTGACCTTGCTGGGCTCTGGGGCAGGGCGCTCCCGGCTGCAGCCTGGGGACCCAGGTTTGTCTCATACTGTCTCTGGGAGCCCTACGGTGTGTGGTGTGGCTGGGTCCCCATGGGGCACATGCTCCCAGCTGAGGGCTTGTTGCTCCTGGTTACTCGCTAACCGGCCAGTCCTCACACAGAGTCTCAAGGAGCTCTGGCCTGCACACGTGTTGCCTGGTGACTCCCAGGAACGTGACATGCCCCATCGTCTGCCGCCTGGGGTAAAGTGTCTTGGTGATCCAGGTTCCAGCCTTATGATAGTTGTGGTTTAAGGCAGTGTTTTTCAAACTTTTTAAAAAAACCTCAACCTTCAGTAAGAAACACATTTTACACGGCAACAATGTTTCACCAAACTATCCACCCCTATTATACCTGATGGACTCTTGCCATTGTCTATGCCATTTCTGTTTTTTAAAAGTGATGATCATGAAACACTAAATTGATTTTGTGACCTACTAACAGGTTGCAACCTATCAGTAGGTCATCCAGACGTGCCTGTTTCTTCTTTTCTTCACTACAAAGCACAGCGGCAGGAAAGGGCCTCCTTCACTTCTTGCCAGGGGCTTCCTGCCTCTCAGTCCCGGTGACTCCACTTGACTTCCTCTGACCTAAGACAGAGCCCCCAACCTCAATGAGCGATAAATACACGGACCTGTGTGTTTGTCCCTGGTGTGCATGAATCCTGTTAACTGTGATTACCTGGGGTGGGGGAGGGGAGGAAGCGGGGGTCCGAAGAGTACTGACTTTTCACTGTACTTTGGTGCTGTTTGAATTTTGTGGCATATAAATGACTTTAAAATGTTTGTTTAAAAACATTTCAAGCCTACAAAAAAGTGTCAGGAACAAATGCAACAGTCCGGTACCCACTCATGCTCCTGCCCCTTCTCTCCCCCAGACTCTCCAACCAGCCTCGGCACCTCCCCCTGGGAGTGGATGAGGCCTCAGAATTCTTAAGATTCCAGGCAGCCCTGACAACTGGTCATGTCAAAACTTGGGTTGAAAATTATAGACTGTCCCCTCCTGACACTGTCTACCAGCACCCAGTCTTTTTATTTTGAAAATCTAGACTTACAAAAAAGTTGCTAATCTAGCACCCTTCACTCATACTGCCCCAGTGTTATGTGGTATAACCGCAGTCCAAGGATCGAAGGCAGGAAATTAACAAGGATAGAATACTATTAACTCATCTACTGACCTATTTCAATTTTGCCAAATGTCCCCCTAACATCCTGTTTCTGGTCCAGGATCCCATTCAGAATCCCACACGGCATTTAGTTGTCACATCTTCGTCTCCTCCAATCTGGGGTGGTTTCTTGGTGTTTCCTTATCACTGCCACACTTTGGCCAGTTATTTTGGAGGACATTCCCCACTTTGGGTTTGTCTGATGTGTTTTCGTTACTAGATTGAGGTTGTGCATTTTGGGCAAGAATACCGCGGAAGCGATGCTGTGCCCTGCTGAGGTAGTGTTGATGTGTCTGGTTACTGGTCATGGTGCCGTGAACCTCTTAGAGTGGGATCTCCCTGAAGTTTCTCCACTGTAAAGTTACTATTTTCTTTTGTAGTTAATAAACATCCTGTGGGGAGATGCTTTATGACATGTAAATATCCTGTTTCTTATACTTTTCCCCGCTCATTTTACCATCCATCAATAATTCCTGCTTGCAACAATTCTTACTGTGTTTTTTAATCAAATGATGATTTTTCTATTTCCATTGTTCTTTCTGCATTTATTAATTGGAATTCTACTGTAAAAAAGAGCGCTCTCTTTCCCCCACTTATTTATTCCATTATCTTTATATCTGTATGAACTCTTGGATATGTATTTCATTCTATAGATTACAATCCATTATTATTACTTATTTGTTTTTGCGCAGATTGTACCAGGTTTGGCTACTGGGAGTCCGTGTGTCCTTTGCGTGCCCCCATCATCCTTTGAGCACTTCCTTACTGTCTAGCACAAGATGTTCCAGGCTCCTCTGGTACTTTCCCTGCACCAGCCCTGGAATCAACTGTTTCTGTAGAAGCCCTGGTTTGTTTCATTAGAGAATGGTATTTAGAAAGGAAGATATAGGCACAGTCAGATTGAGCTTGATAAAATGAAAATGCAGAACTGGGCTGGCCTTGGGGCAGCTCCGGAAGGCACAGGGCAAGCTGTGCATGGCTGGGGGAGGGGGTCTAGGCAGGGAGGGCAGGCTGGCTGCCCCATGTCCGGCTGGGAGCACTGTGAGGTGCGGCCTCCATGCACATACAGGGTGGGTTCAGAGCAGTACTGTCCCTCGTCCCTCGGTGCCCTGGGCTCCACACACAGCTTGCCTCCGGGGTGTGTGCCTGGGCCTCGAGTTGGGAGGGAGAGGACGACGTATTTTCTCCCTTGCATCAGTACTGTGTGATTTTTTTTTTTAAACCATAAGTGTCTATTTTAAAGATAGTAAAGATCTACTTTGCTATTTTTTTCTTTAACAAAATCTATATTTATTGTTTCCTTTTCTCAAACCGAAAGACAACATGGATGGACTGTTGCAGTGGAGTTCACCCACCCCAAATGGGTCTTTGCATGGGGGTCCAGCTGCACTCCAGTTTCGAATGATGAAGGCCTTGGGAGCGCCAGAGGGAGAGGCGCTTTCAAACTCTCCTGATTGTCACCTACAGTAAAAAAATGTATTTTACAACATGTCCTAGCATACAGACTCATATTCAACTTGAACAAAATTTCACAACACAATATTCATTCTTGTTATGTGTGACACTTTCTATTTTCTATTACCCGCTAGTTTGATTTCACAACATACTAATGAACGCAGCAGGACCTGCAGTTAGAAAAACACCCCTCTGGGCCAACCTCTTATTGTGTGAACAGGGAAAGTGAGGCCCTCAGAAGGGGAGTGAGAGCCCAAAATGCTGGGGCTTTTCAGGATGTGTTGACATATGACCTTTAAAACAGTGCTGCATTTTTATAGTTATTGGGGAGAAGTAGGTCTGAATAGTAAGAGTAGATTTTTAAAAAGTCTCAAAAGCTGGATGAAATTTGGCTAAAGGTCTTGAGCCAGAGATTTCTGCCCTTATTCAGCAGCCCCAAATTCCTGATGTTGGAAGGCCTTGGCTGTTTAAAATGCAGTAAGTGTCTCGTCCTTCATCTGTCATTTACCATTACCCAGCAGATACTCACAGATGGTGCCGGGCAGAAGGAGGCCTGCAAGATGGAGGTGTGAGGGCCTGGCCCTCAGAGTGCTTTCATCTGCCAGGGGCAGATGTACAAGCCGCCATGGAGGACCCTGCCGTTACAGAGATGTACAGGCTGGGAGTGGGGGTACTGAGAGGAGCCTGGGGGTCTAGGTCTGGCAGGATGGGAGTGTAATCCTAGGAAAGTCATCTTGCTGAGCCCCAGTTTCCTCCCCTGTCAGATGGGGAAGGTACGACCTGCCTCCCTGAGTGGCAGTGAGGCTGGGGAGGGCCTCCGCGCCTCAGGAGAGCCTGGCGGGGAGGCCTGCAGGAGGAGGAGAGGGGGAGGCATCCTGCAAGGCCTGCAGGCCTGGAGGACCCCAGGGGCTCCTGAGCTGGGTCTGCCTGAGGACTTGGGGCCTGGAGAGCAGGGAGCCATGAGGATGACAAGGAGGGGCTGGAGGCGCACAGGCCCCAGGATGGAGCCTTGTCTGCCTGGCCACACAACAGTTTAAACTTCACCCCATGGGCAGTGGGAGCCACTGAAGTGCTCTCAGAAGGGGAGTGACATGGCCAGGTTTGTATCCTTTCCACTGACTCCAACAGGACAGTCCTGTGGCCTTAAGGAAACTGGCAGTCAAAATCTGACACCGCACAGCGCTTGGGAGATACCCTGTGAGGTGACTCAGGCAGTGAAAAGGGAAGCTGGGGTCTCCAGGGAGCGCCGGAAGCGACAGCGGGAGCAGGCAGGCTGAGGCATGAAGGTGGCCGGCCAGGCGCTGACGGCAGGCCGAATTCCCCCCCGCCCCCCACCCCGGGCTCCGTCCTCGTCCTCGAGGGGCGCCCTGCAGAACCACAATCCCCGCACCCCTCAGGTGGGCCATGCGCTTGAGCACATGAGGTGGGGTGTCAGCGTGAAAAGACATCCGCGGGTGTGTACCAACAGACCCGGGTTCCAGGTATAAATTAGGTGACTTTAGCAAAGTTAGTTAACTTTGCCCCGAACTACAGTCTCCTCACTGTCAAATGGGGGGAGGGGGTGAGAAGGAAGGAGTTAATCTTTAAAGGCTGTTGTAAGCCCCCAATAAGGAGTCACTCTTAATGTGATCTCATATTCTCCTTTTACAGATGAGGAGACTGAGGTCAGAGAGGTTAAGTGACTCACCCAAAGCTACACAGCGGGCAGAAACAGGAGCCCAGTGGTGGTGTGACTCTCTGTGGCCCATGTTCCTTTGGGAGGGTGGCGCTGCGGCAGGCAGCGATCCCCCGGCAAGGCGAGCCACGGCCCACACCCAGCCTGAAGCTACATGTGCCTGTGAACCTAGTCCCAGGGGCCAGAGTGCGCAGCGATGAGTCACCCCAGCCCGCTCCCACATGGAGACCCTCCTCCCCAGCCCGCACGCAGGCTGAGACCCGGTTGCCAAGCAATAAGACACAACATGCATAAATACAATGCCATCCCTTGCTGGACCGCGGCGCAGGGCGCTTGTGCTGCGGTCTTTTCCTTGCTTCTCCCCTCCGCTCCTCAGCCTTCCCTCCAGCTTCCCCTGGGACAGAAGGTTTGATCTTCAGGCGAAGCGCTTCCAGACCCGAGTGAATGCGGACTGCAGTGTGGACTCGAGGGTGGCTGTGGAGTCTGCCTGGGCGATGAATGGGACAAGGCTGCGCCGAGCGGGCGGCAGGAGTGTGGGCTGCAGACAGGGTGGAACGTCACCATTCCGGGTGGGTGGGCGCGCCGAGTGGGGGCATGACTTCAGAGCTGGCCTTGGAGGACGGAGGAAGGCTCCTGCCATGGGAGCACGTGCCCACTGCCCAGGGACGGGAGGAGCTCCTGCTGCTTTGGGAACCTCAGGATGGCGACAGGATCCCGTGGCACCTCTCCTTGAGCCTGCACACCTCGCTTACCTGTGAGTCGGTTTAGCTGCACAACGCCCTGAGGGCGGCTGCCGGAGTGGGCCTCCGCTTGCACACGGGGGGGCTCATGCACCCACTGCGCGCAGGGTAACAACCGTTCGTTTAGGACTCCTCTCCTGCTCAGGCACCGGACCTGGGGCTGCATATCTATCATCCCGTTAACCCTCACAAGGACATTGTATTATTTTTTCCTCAGCAATAAAATTCACCAAATTTTACGTGTACAATTTGATGAGTTTTGACAAAAGTATACAATCTTGCAACCACCGTTGCAATGTTCGTGACATAGAATGTTGCCATCACCCCTCTGTAGACAGTCCCTTACCCTTGGCTCCTGGCAACTACTCACCACGAGTTTTACCTTTTCGAGGCTTTCATGTAAATGGGATCATATAATACGTTAGTTTTCTTGTCTGGCTTCTTTCGCTTAGCATAATGCTTTTGAAATTCATTCATGTTATCATTGGTTTGTTCCTTTCTTTGCTAATTAGTTGATGAATATTTGGGTTGTTTTCCAGTTTGGGGCTATTATGAAAAAAGCAGCTATGAGGTACAAGTCTTTGTGTGGACATGTGTTTTCATTTCTCTTGAGGAAATACCTAGGAGTGGAATTGTTGGTTCATTCAATAGGTATTATCATCATCTCCATTTTATAGATGAAAGATCGAAGCTCAGAGAGGTTAAACAGCTTGCCTGAGCTCACACAGCTTGGCAGAAATTCAAAGCCAAGTCTGACCTCTATGCCAGGTGGTCACCCAGAGGAAATATTTGAGTACATTTTTGAGTTGAAAGTACTCCTTTGGTCAGTAATTACTATAGTACTGTGTACATCGGCTGAATTCAGCTGTGTTCGGGTTGACAGCTTGCATAAATAGACTGACACTGAGCACAAGCTGCTGAGCACAGCATGTGCACAGGGACAGAGGTCACTCTTTGAGGGCATTTCAGCAGTGACTTCAGGAAGCTTAAGGGGCGGGGCTGCAGGGTTCTCATTTGTTTTGTTTTGTTTTGTAAAGGTGGTGTTAGCAAGGTTTCCCCACTGTAAGGTACCATTTTCCCTGTGTAACGAGTAACTCGAGAGGAGAGACTTGCAGAGTATGCATAGTAGTCTCCCCTTATCCACGATGGATGCATTCCAAGACCCCCAGGGGATGCCTGAAACCGTGGATAGTGCTGAACCCTATATGTACTATGTTTTTTCCTATATATACATACCTATGATAAAGGTTGATTTGCAAATTAGGCACAGTAAGAGATTAACAACAATAACTAATAATAAAATAGAACAATTATAACAATATATTGTTATAAAATTTACCACAGATCTTAGCAACCTCAGCATACGATGTTCTTTCCTTAAGTTGAGAACTTTTACCTTTTCACTGAAAGAAAGCACTTTTTTTTTCCAGGTTTTTTTTTAATTGAGTTGATAGGTTACAATCTTGTGAAATTTCAATTGTACATTAACGTTTGTCAGTCATGTTGTAGGTGCACCACTTCACCCTTTGTGCCCACCCCCACCCCACCTTTCCCCTGGTATCCACTAAACTGTTCTTGGTCCATAGTTTTAAATTCCTCATATGAGTGGAGTCATACACAGATTATCTTTCTCTTGCTGACTTATTTCACTTAACATAATTCTCTCAAGGTCCATCCATGTTATTGCAAATGGAATGATTTTGTTCTGTTTTGCAGCTGAGTAGTATTCCATTGTATATATGTACCACATCTTCTTTATCCATTCGTCTGTTGATGGGCACTTAGGTTGCTTCCAGGTCTTGGCTATTGTAAACAGTGCTGCAATAAACATTGGGGTGCACAGGACTTTTGGGATTGCTGACTTCAGGCTCTTTGGATAAATACCCAGTAGTGGGATGGCTGGATCGTATGGTAGTTCTATTTTTAGTTTTTTGAGGAATCTCCATACTGTTTTCCATAGTGGCTGCACCAGTTTGCATTCCCACCAGCAGTGTATGAGGGTTCCTTTTTCTCCGTAACCTCTCCAACATTTGTTGCTATTAGTTTTAGATATTTTTGTCATTCTAACGGGTGTAAGGTGATATCTTAGTGTAGTTTTGATTTGCATTTCCCTGATGATCAGCGATGATGAGCATCTTTTCATGTGCCTATTGGCCATCAGTATATCTTCTTTGGAGAAATGTCTGTTCATGTCTCCAGCCCATTTTTTGATTGGGTTGTTTGATGTTTTGTGATTGAGTTGCGAGAGTTCTTTATATATTAAGGATATTAAGCCTTTGTCAGATATATGACTTGCAAATATTTTTTCCCAGTTAGTGGGTTGTTTTTTTGCTTCAATCCTGTTTTCATTTGCCTTGAAGAAGCTCTTTAATCTGATGAAGTCCCATTTGTTTATTCTTTCTATTGTTTCCCTTCTCTGAGAAGGCATGGTGTCCGAAAAGATCCTTTTAATACTGATGTCAAAGAGTGTACTGCCTACGTTTTCTTCCAGAAGCCTTATGGTTTCAGGTCTCACCTTTAGGTCTCTGATCCATTTTGAGTTTATTTTGGTGAGTGGTGAAAAAGAATGGTCAATTTTCATTCTTTTACATGTGGCTTTCCAGTTTTCCCAGCACCATTTGTTGAAAAGACTTTCTTTTCTCCATTGTATGCCCTCAGCTCCTTTGTCAAAGATAAGCTGTCCATAGATGTGTGGTTTTATTTCTGGGCTTTCAATTTTGTTCCATTGATCTGTGCACTTGTTTTTGTACCAGTACCATGCTGTTTTGATTACTGTAGCTTTGTAGTATGTTTTGAAGTCAGGGATTGTGATGCCTCCCGTTTTGTTCTTTTTTCTCAGGATTGCTTTAGAAATTCGGGGTCTTTTGTTGCCCCATATGAATTTTAGGATTCTTTGTTCTAATTCTGTAAAGAATGTCATTGGGATTCTGATTGGGATGGCGTTGAATCTGTAGATTGCTTTAGGTAGAATGGACATTTTAACTATGTTTATTCTTCCAATCCATGTACATGGAATGTCTAAAAGAAAGCACTTTATGGCTTCTCTTTGGCATATCCAAATTGCCAGCATCACTACTCTTGTGCTTTGGGGGTGGTATTAAGTAAAATATGGGTTACTTGAACAGAAGCACTGCGATACCGAGACAGTTGATCTGATAACTGAGATGGATACTAAGTGACTAGCAGACAGGTAGCACATACAGCGTGGATCCACTGGACGAAGGGGTGAATCATGTCGGGTTGGGATGGGGTGAGATTTCATCGTGCTACTCAGCACAGCTTGCACTTTAAAATTTATGAATTGTTTATTTGTGGAATTTTCCATTTAATATTTTCAGATCACAGTTGGCCACGGTAACTGAAACCCGAGAAAGTGAAACTGCGGATAAGGGGGCTACTGCTTCCTGTTCCTCATCAAGCTTTCACCCACTGGTGTGAATATGCATTTTGAATTTCCCAACTCCACCATTCCTTTTTCATTTGCTAGCTGGCATTCTTCCGTCAGGAAGAGCTTTCCCTTCTTCCTCATGTATGCTTCTATCAGTATACTTCCTGAGTTATTTTATTATATGGGATATAATCCACTGCTACCATTGTTTTAATGTTCAACACGTCCCTGATTTGGCCAGAGGCAGTCCCTTTAGGCTGACTCCTGTGTCCTTTTAACATGCCCCCGTGACTTTCTGAGCACTTCCTTACTCAGTGTAAGATGGTCCAGGCTCTTGTACTTCTGCACCAGCCCTGGTCTCTTTCAGTGGAGAATGGCAGTCAGAAACCAAGACTGGGGCTCTAGATATACTCGTAGTTCCTGGGCTGTCTGACTCCGAGGCCCCCTCAGGCTACAGGGTTTGAAGGCAGCAGGTTAGGTGAAAGGCAAGGGCATGAGACCGGACTTGTAAGGAAGGGCTTAGGAAAACCTCGCCTCGGCCCGGAAGGGAAGCTTTAATAAGCGCTGGGTTCACTGGGTGGGTGAACCTAGACTAGGCCAACCAGGCAGCGCAGTTTCTCGGCTCAGAAATATCTCTACAAACCTGATACATTTATAAACCTCCTGGGGGGGGTCACATCTTTGAGCTCTTCTTGCTTTGGTGTGAATTACTTCTGGGGAAGAGGACGTGAGAGGCTGGTTTGCAAGGATGGCGGTGGAGGGTCAGGGAGAGTAGGGGCAGGCGTGGCAGGGGAAAAGCGGTCTCAGGGGCTCCAGATGGCAGATTCTCTCCCACTGCAACAGAAAACTGCACAGATTTCTCCTGGCACAGACCCTGCGCTGTGCCGAAGCCTAACTGGCCAGCTGGCTCATAAAGAGCCTCATCATCCGAGTGAACTCCAGGGATGGTGACTCACATGGGGCCACGATCTCAGAGTTGGTCTCCCTGAAAATAACTGTGCCTTCTG